CAAGGGTTTTAGATGACATCATTGCTTCGCTTGGTAAGGGAGATGCTTCAGCACTTGTATCATTAGATTATTCTAAGGCGTTCGATAAAATAGATCATGAGCTTTTATGTGCTAAATTGAAGTTTTTTGGTTTTTCAGACATACCTCTAATGTTTTTTATAACATATCTTTCAAATCGTAAACAAGTAGTAAAGATAGACAACACTATATCTAGTCCGATTGATATAACATCAGGTGTCCCTCAGGGTTCAGTTTTAGGGCCCTTGTTGTACTTAATTTATACTATAGACTTGGGTAGCTCTGTGAAAAACTCTTCTGTGATGTGCTATGCCGATTGTACACAGATATATAAGAGCTTTAATAGTAACACTTTACATACTTCAATCAATGAGCTTAATGATGATTTGGAGGCAATAGTAGGATACTCAAATGGTAACAATCTTAAGCTCAATAAGGATAAGTGCTCAGTGATGCTTTTTTGTCCTGCTGTCAAACGTAACACTATATTGAATTCTCTTGATGTAAAAATCGACAAGGAGCGTCTAGCTGTCGTAAATACTACAAAAAATTTAGGGTTGATTATTGATTATACTTTACGGTTTAAGGAGCATGTTTCGTCTATCCTAAAAAAATGTTATGCAACTTTGAAGTGTTTTTATGTCAATCGCTCTATTTTGAATTTTAAAGTTAGAAAAAAGTTATGTGAGGCTATTATATTTCCAAGCTTATTTTACTGTAGCACTGTGTTCTATCATTGTCTTGATTCTATCACAAAAGCAAGACTCCAAAAACTCCAAAATACTTGTTGTCGATTTGTATTTAATCTCAAGAAGTATGATCATGTTTCCTTAAAGAGATTTCAGCTTGGTTGGATGTGTATAGAAAATGCTTGCAAGTACCATATAGCAGTGTTTACACATAAGATCGTATCTTCTCGATCCCCCTTGTATCTTTATGAGAAATTTGTTTTCAGACGAAATAATTCAGACATTGATTTCAGACACAAAAAAAGACTAGAGATCCCTATGTATAAAACAACTTTATTTCGTAGTTCATACACTTACAATGCTATCCTGATTTATAACGAATTAGATGACAATATAAAGGATTGGCCAGTAAACAGATTTCGTAAGCATGTGAAACAGATTTATTTGTCATTGTAGTAATTGTAGAAAAGTTAGTTTTTAATTCTTATACGAGTATTTTATTTTATTTTTACGTAATATATGTGTGTATATTATGTATGTCAGGAAGCTATCAAGCTCATTGTTTTGAAGCGTCTTTTGCTGCTTGTCAAAGTTTCCTTTCATTAAGTATTTCAATTTATTATTTGGGTAGGTTAAGTAGAGTAGCCAAGAGCTAGACTTCGCCTACGTAGAGGTCACATTATGTTGTAGTTTATGTAATGTGCCTAATAAAGACATTTTATTATTATTATTATTATTTAAATGTCAAAATGACCAAATCTTGTAATATCGCTTTGTGGTATAATTAGTTCGTAGAGGGATGCTGGCTATCACACACACAATCACAAATTGAGAATAAAAAATACCCCTGCTTCTGCTCTAAAAACTGATCCTACTTCCTTCATTGTAACCTCTATGGTCGGTCTGTAGGTCTGGGATCAATCGCCCAGACACGTTTGTCATGTACCGAGCGTGTCGTCATTTTCAAAATTACCCTACGTACAATTCTAGGGTGCGGGTCTACGAGCATGCCAACGGAATATTATTCTCTGAACCCCCGTGACAGCGCCATATACATATATAGGACAAAATAGGTGTCATTGCTAACATATGTTAGGGATGTGCGAAAGCAACATTGCTTTTTCATTGGTTTTCACACATCGTCTCTCCGCCTGTGTTGGCCTTATAGTCCAGGACTATTAGACGAAAAGAAGGCTAATCTGCTGAAAAAATCCCACCTGGCTGAATTTTTTACCCGAGCTTCTTTTCAATATTACAAATCATTCCTCAAAAGTCTCCATGAAATTTTTTCCATATTTTTCGGAAATATAAATTCTACGATAAATGAGCAAAAACGTAATTTTTCCATCATTTCGCTCGATACTGGCGTCACGTAAGGTTTTAATACCGCGCTCGACGCAAACAGTCACACCGTCTGACAGCGATTTGTCGCAAATGATGCAATTTTCGATCATTTTTCAATTTATAAGTGAATAATATCACGTAAAAACTGTCTGAAATTATCCGACGCGTCTGTAAACAATTGAGAATAGCAGAATACTGGCCTGAAGACTGGTCAAATGACGTCAATGTCCCACAGTCAGGTATACAGTGACGTACATTCCAGCACAGAAAAAAAGGGCCAGCTGTGATCTAGGTCACTTATAGAGCCCCTACCACAAACATTCAAAAAGGAAACGATGTCAAAACACGGTTTGACGTGAAATTTTTTATTTTTGTCAATTACAACACTTTGACGCAATTTTCTGTAATATTCTCTACGAAAAAATACATAGAACTTTTTTTTGTGGAGAATTTTATACTGAACCAAAAACTTTATAACTCATTTTATCGTAAAGTTGATCTTTTCGAAGATATATGGAAAATAGTGTTTTTGTGACCTTTGACCCCCATGACAAAAAAAGCTCCACTTGAATTCATGGGAACTTTTGAGGGATACTATAACTTATAATGCTGAAAAGAAGCTCTGGTAAAAAATTCATCCAGGTGGGATTTTTTCAGCACAGAAAGTCTAATAGTCCTGGACTATTATAGTTTTCATCTATTAGAGAAACGTGGCTAATCGAAGTGAAAATAGACGTGGTGCTGTACCTGTTTGCATGACACGGCTGTCATATAGTCTCCAACGCACGGTCTATTGGGTCACTCACCTCCATTATGCTCTTCACTAATTCATTTTCTGGCATTTGTGGCGAATATTAATACCCAATTATCAGGATTTCATCGATGCTTATATGGTAGTAGGAGACAGAAGGACTTGGAAATAGTGTGGATGATATCAGACTACAGTGAAAGTAAAGAGTGGAACTACACCTGTTTATACCGAAAACGGTGAGAGATAGGAAGTGACTTGGACAGAGGTAAAATTGCGTATTTCGGTAACTAATAAAACCCCGCTTAGTAAGTTTCAAAATTCAAAGTACTTCCGGAGAGAGACGCAGCAAACCGATTTTCTTAAAAATCGTCTCAGTTTTTTCCTGACTTTATTTATAGTTGGATTTAAAAATATATAGCACATTAGTATTGCTACTGTTTCTCCTTTAGATGGCATAATGAGAGTTTCAATATGACGTTCCGCATATTGACCTCCCTAATCAGGTGTGCAAGAATCCAATACTGCGTCCGACAGAAAAAGTAAAGTTGATGCTGGAGGGCAAGAGACGAAATGTCATATTGCAATTCTAATTATCTTTTTGTAGAGGAGCAGAAATGGCAAGGTTAATGTGCATTTTATTTTTAAATCCCACTATAAAAAAAGTCAGTAAAAATCAAAACGATATTGGAGAAAATTTTTTCCGACTCTCTCCGGAAGTACTTTGAGTTTCAAAAGTTCAAGCGGGATCTTGTTAGTTACCTAAATACGCAACCTTGCGACCATTTAAGCCACTTCGTATCTCTTGCCGCTTTCAAGATCCCAATGGTGAGGGTCGAATTTGAAACACCCCGTATTTCCTTTTATTAAGATTTTCAACATTATTGATAAAATTTGGCGTCTCTATTAACCGCGCGGCAATATTAAATTTCATGTTCAAGAGTATGTAATAAAAAGTAAATCAAAGTAAGCTCCTTGCACATTATGGATCTACTGGAATTTTCACGTTTACTGTTCCTCACTCCCTTTTTTAGGCTCTTCTACCAAATAGTTAAAAGTGCTGCTACAAAATAAAAGCTGAAAAAATAGCTTCATGAGTAGCTCGTAGGAAAATTGCCTAATCTAAAGTCATAAAAACAGGAAATAGCAAATTGAAGTTTTTTGTCATTGTCTGTGTTTCTTAGTTATTGTACCTGAAAATAAATCCAGACCTTTTGATCTTGATACTGAAAAGATTGTGTAATGATTACTGCTTCGCAAAATAAGTGAAACATGCCCTTGAGTATATACGACTAGCAGATTCGCTAGATTTTCCATGTGCTATGATGTCATCTTCAGCAATTTTGCAATTAAGTATACCATCAAATTGTCATTCATTAACTCGTTATTACAACATTTTTTTATGAGAGTTATTCTTTATAATTAGATATCATTGATTACCCACAAATACAATACTAGCACTTTTGAGCTTTAGTTATACAGTAACAGTTGTAATGAAATCCAAATGTCATGTTGGAAAGAAGAAGAAAATGTTATATTGAAATAGCATACATATAAAGGTTGATTGATCGCAGTTTGTCACCGTTTCCATGAGATGGTATCATTTTCAGTGCTTTAAAAATGTTTAACCAAATGGTAATATAACGACGCGTCTCCTTTTCCAATAGAAATACCAAAGTATTCTATTTCGTTACTCTCTGAAGTTATCAAGCATAGATTCCATTGTTCAATATCATCTGCTGCTTTGTTTTTAAAGTTCCACTAGTTTTTATCCCATATTTCATAACTTAAGTGTTTGGTATTGGTTTCTACTTCCTGTTGTTGCATTCTGTCCAATCTTTTATCGATATTAAATATCAAATTATTACAGTATGATGTACCAGGTGGTACCACTTTCGACTGTGGCTTGGTTTTGATTGTTCACTTCCGAAAAAACATGTTTATGGGTTATATTGAATTCCTAAATGTATATTTTAATCATACTACTACCACCACAATTTATCAGAATTCCAGCTGCGGAACCCTATTCTACTGTTCTTGCGTTATTTGGTTATAACGGATGCAGAAAAATAAGTGGAGAGGAAAGAGAGTCTTCATAAAAACTCCATTTTGACGTTCTATTGACCTAAATAGTCAATCAGTTTATTAATATATTTGTATAAAATATTGATATCCTTACACAATATAGGAAGTGTTCAGGATTACTTGCCTTCCAGCTCTGCAACAATCTGTTCAAAAGTCTTCGCTTTCGTCTCCGGTATCACGAATAATGTGAAAAAGATACCTGATCCGGCGATTGCAGCAAATATGAAGAACGTTACGTCATTTCCAATGGCATTGGCCAAATTCAAGTAGAATCTGGCAACCAAGAAAGCCAAAAACCAATTGAATGTTGCCGCTGCCGAGCTACATTTGGACTTGACCTCTGGTGGGAAAATTTCAGAAGACGCCATCCATGGTATGGGCCCCAAGCCAATGGAGAAGGCTATGATGAACAAATTAACGCCAATGATAGGCAGAAAACCTATAGATTTCACGCCATCTTCATCCATAAGATTGCGGTTCTTAAATGTGAAGAATAATCCGATCATCGCGGAGGCCAAAGCCATGAGTCCACAGGAAACCATCAGCAATATCTTCCTTCCAGCTTTTTCAATGGCCCACGAGACACACAATGTTACCACAACCTGGACGATTCCCAGAATGATGACGCACCAATGTGGTTCAAGGTCGGATCCAGCTGCTAAGAAGATCTCCTGTGTGTAGAACGTGACCGCGTTTATTCCACAAAATTGCTGGTAGACCATCAACGTGAAGCAGATCACAGTGGCTTTTTTTGCTGCTTTCGTTTTGATGGCCACTTTGAAGCCGGCCATCTGCTTTTCTTGATCGATGGCAGCTTGTATCGCCTGCAATTCACCTCTGATGTCATAGTCATTTCCCCTTAGTCTCTCCAACGATTTCTCCGCTTTTCCTTGCTTGCCTTTTCGCATGTAGTAGACAGGGCTTTCGGGTTGGAAAGCAAATACTATAGCGAACACAACCGGTATGGATGTGCAGGCTATGTTGAATAGCCGTATAGATGGCATGGCATATCCGAAAACATTAGAGAACAATATTCCGATTGTGATGAATAACTGGAAGAAGGTACCTAAAGTTCCTCTGATTTCTGGTTCTGATATTTCGCTAGTGTACAGCGGCCCGCACACACAGAACGACCCACCTCCTATTCCGCAAAGGATTCTACCGGCGTACACTATGCCTTTGTGGTTAGCAAATAATATTATGACCCATCCTAGAAAAAGAGGAATGGCTGCTACCAACGCAGCGCCCTTTCTTCCGATCATTTCACAGATGAAGCCCATTGGAATGCACATGATCATTGCGCCTAAAGTCATGCATGATCCTGACCATCCCAGCTGATCGTCGTCCATCTCAAGTTCATTCAATTTGCCATTCTTTAGGTCTTCGCAGATATTCGAGGTCCATCCTATGACACTTCCCGTGCCGAAGGCACCTATGGAGACGCACACTGCCGCCAGGTACTGGGGGAACTTTTTTCCAGAAGACATTTCATATCAATGGGTATCAAAATGTGAAGCAAAAAAGCATGTGACAGCTGAAAAATGTCAATTCTGAGAGTGACATTCGCAAATATCCCTTCAGAGTCTCCTGATAGGAGAAACAGGTTATTTCGTCTCTCATAGGGCGAATTTTTCTTGCAAGCGGTTTTGGTTGTAGTCGACATTAAAATGCTTTTATAGTGGTCGGGCAAGGTTCTGATAATGGCGTAATTAATTACGTCTTTTAGAGGCTAGGAAGCGACTGACCACTTTCGAGTAAACTAACGGCGATTTTTCAGTTTAAGTAATTTGTGTGTATTATCATAGTTTTCATCTAGTTGACAATGATTGTGAGCAAAATGGATTGTGAATGATTTCTGGAATTTATGGAGAACATCGAGGAATCGCCTACAACTGAAAGGGTACCAGGAGGATATTTGAGTCATAATTCCGGTCAGTTTCAATAAACACAGCTAAAGAGATTGTCAATGGCGATTTAAAGAGGATATCAATCAACGATGATGAGAATTATAGGAAGGGTATGATGCTTAATGCTTAGAAAGTTATTTGAAATACCTACTTTTTCCATCAGTCTCATCATGCATTGATGGGGTTCATATCAATCAAAAACCCAGAAAGAGAAGTAGAAGAGATTTTCCGAAATAGAAAAGGAAATTTCTCTTTAAATGTTCAGGTTGGATGTTTGAATTTATCAGAAGAAATGTATGAAATAATAGTTTGCTTCTTAGATTGCAACTGAACCTTCCATGGAAATTTTTGGGCATAGTTGTAAGATACCCAGGGTCCATGTATGACAGTGTTATCTTTGAGAGATATTATATATACCTGATGAAGCTGACATAATAAATGATAATTTGATCGCTTACATTTTTGTCGTCTATCCCTAACTACAAGTTTTGATGATAAACAACTCAAAAAGTTTACATGACCCATGGGCCAATAGATTTTTGTCTAAATGGCTTTATAGTTTACAACTTTAAGTGCTTTATATTGACCACAATCACCACAATCTTACTAATTTTTGTAATCTAATCTAAAACGTTTTTAAATTGGGTAATTAACAAATAAATGGTATTAAGTTTTCCTAAGTTAAGCCAAAATTCGTAGTCACTAAGTAAGTAAGTTTCAATAAATTAAATATTTAAAACACACATGACAACAGCGCGTCGGTCATTCATCACTCTTATTGAACCGGCAATCGATCGCAAACGGTAACAGTGCTTAGTTATTGTTCGCGTACGTCGTCGTGTTTATTTACAATGTTCTCCAATCAAGAGTTCGCCGACATGTTGTTAGTTTACGGTGAAGCTCGTCAGAATTCAAATCTTGCAGCTCAAATTTATCGTGACAGATTTCGCCAACGGGTACACCCAGACAGAAGGACATTTGTGCAAGTGTACCAAAGACTTCGAGATACAGGAAGTGTTCAGCCCACTAATATTTGCACTCCTGAAAGACAGCTTACTGTAGAGCAGGAGGGACAAATTTTAAATATCGTGGAAATCAATGCAGATATCAGCACTCGGGACTATCGCATACCATAGTTCATAGAATCCATTGAATATCTGGATTTTTTAAAGACATTTTAGAGACGGACGAATGTACTTTTACGCGAGACGGGATATTAAATTTCCATAATACTCACACGTGGACCCACGAAAATCCTCATACCATTCGTGAAACTCATTTCCACCAACGTTTTAAAATAAATATTTGGGCAGGTATTCTTGACGATCAGGTAATTGGCCCTTTCGAGTTACCTCCCAAGGTTGTCAGGAGAAGGATACCATAGCTTTCTAGCCAATAACCTACCAGAACTTTTGGAACAGACCTTAGACAACATATCATTACCACGGAGATAGAATTTGTGGTTTCTTCATGACGGGGCACCACCACACATTTCTAGAGACGTCATTCAGTATTTGAATGAACATTATTCAAATCGCTGGATCGGTCGAAATGCTCCTGATCCTCGAAAATGGCCAGCAAGATCTTCTGACCTCAATCCGATGGATTTCTGGTATTGGGGAGAACTTAAAAGGATGGTTGATGGGGCTGGTCCAATAACAACTGAAGCACAGCTTCGTGAAAAAATTTTTAATGCGGCTGAAGCTTGTTTGGAAAGTGGAGGACGACATTTTGAACACATTTTTTAAATACAAAAAAGTGCAATATGGGTTTTAAAAAGAAAAACAATGTGTGTATCAAAATTGTGTTCCCTACTTATAAGTGGATTTTTTTATTACGCTCAATAAACTTTCACACACCAGGTGAAGCGCTGAGACAGTTAGTGGTAAGTCTGTTTTTTTTAAATCGTTTGCATTTTACGAGTACATTATCAAATAATAAAATAATACATAAGAGCCAAAAATAACAAACTCCATCTTTATTTACACTGCGTTCCGTCAAAATTTTCGTCTGGCATTGCGGCGTTGTCAGATTTTATTTTACTTTAAATTCGCTTTTCTCTAAAAATATGCCGTTTTGACCCCCATGTTATATGAAACTTTTTGCTTCTTTTAACCCCCTCTATCACCCATTTAAATAATGACTATCATAACGTTTACACCCTGTATGTCTAAACACACTTTGCCCTCGTACACATTGAACTAAAGCCGTCAGGCAAATTTGGTTCTCAGTGTAGATAGAATGAAGTACACTACAAAAACAAAGGCAACAAAAAAAACAATACGCTACATACGTGTGCGGCAATTTACGGTTTATTCAGATATACTAGAAGCATTGTGGTATGTGACAAATCCACCCAAGTCATAAAAACCCCAATACGATACCTTGTTCTGCAAACGTATCTTGAAACGCTATCAAGTTTACGTCTTTAACTTATGTTGGAAATAAGTTAAAAAAATTTGCTGTTATGGGGGATTTTGAATGAAATCTACTCGTATTATAGACAACAATAGTGGGCTCCTTACTTAGAAAATTCTTTTTCTATCAGAAAAAACACTAAACTTTGACAACTTGCACCTGCTATTACAAAAGCTTTTAACAGAACATTTTTATGATCCCATGTTTTGTGCCTATCTACTTTTTCATTTTTTTATGGCTCAAATGTTGTAATATATCTAAGGTAATGGTGAACAAATTTCTGTACATAACTCGGTGGAGAAGACCATTATTTCCCTGCACATTATTCCCTTGACGCTATGCACCTTGGGGTATAAAAGATGGTCGATCAATGATGGCATAATTCTCCACTAAGGTATGTAATACACTATTACTTCCTCAGTTCCCATTCGCTTGATTCTTCGACCTGAAAAGCAGGAAATTGAAATAGGTTTTATTTCAACGTACGTATTTCAAATAAGTTTCTCTCCAACACCAGCAAAAATAAGAAAACAAATGACAATATATAAGCCGGTCAAATGATTTCCAAATTATTGATATATCCGATTGATGAGAATAAAAAATATACAGGATTACGAAAAAACTGTGATGAAAGAGTTTCACCAAGAGCAGCTACGACGTAGATGGCTATCGAAGTAACTATACTAAGTGACATATAAATCCGAACACCCAGTTTAAATGGTTTTATTTTAATAAAATTTTGTATAAGTACTTAATCAAGCATAATAAGTAAATGATAAAAATTTCAAAATGATTGCACTGCTTTAAAGACCTTTGACCTTTAATAATGTGTGGATGCACCCTGATGTGCTACGCATTCTCCAACGCGCCTAGGCATGCTTCTGATCAGGTGGTCAATGTCCTCCTGTGGTATCTCATTCCAGGCAACCACCAACTCCTCTCGAAGTGCTTCTAGAGTCTGAGGAGGACGTTGCAAATTGAGCAATCTCCTACCCATCATATCCCACACGTGCTCAATTGGGGATAAGTCGGGAGATCTTGGTGGCCATGGTAGCAATGTGACATCATTATGTTGAAAGAAGTCTATTGTGACTCTTGCAACATGTGGTCGGGCATTATCTTGTTGGAAAGTTGGATCTGCCAGGGTGTCAAGATAGGGTAAAAGATGGGGTTCTAGAACTTCGTGGATATAACGCTGCGCGTTCATGTTACCTCTGAGGAAGATTAAAGGTGACCTGGAACCATAAGCTATAGCACCAAAACCATAACTCTAACAGTGTGATGAACATGTCTTTCAACAAAAAACTGTGGATTCCTCCTTTCACCACGTCGCCTTCTAACCCTGGAACGACCATCGTGCATGCCTAAACAAAATCGAGACTCGTCACTAAAGACAATACTGTTCCATTCCTGATCCCAGAGTGACCGTTGTCTGCACCACTCAAGGCGATTACGTCGGTGTAAGGGTTAGAAGGCGACGTGGTGAAAGGAGGAATCCACAGTTTTTTGTTGAAAGACGTGTTCATCACACTGTTGGAGTTATGGTTTGGGGTGCTATAGCTTATGGTTCCAGGTCACCTTTAATCTTCATCAAAGGTAACATGAACGCGCAGCGTTATATCCACGAAGCACTAGAACCCCATCTTTTACCCTATCTTGACACCCTGGCAGATCCAACTTTCCAACAAGATAATGCCCGACCACATGTTGCAAGAGTCACAATAGACTTCTTTCAACATAATGTCACATTGTTACCATGGCCACCAAGATCTCCCGACTTATCCCCAATTGAGCACGTGTGGGATATGATGGGTAGGAGATTGCTCAATTTGCAACGTCCTCCTCAGACTCTAGAAGCACTTCGAGAGGAGTTGGTGGTTACCTGGAATGAGATAAAACAGGAGGACATTGACCACCTGATCAGAAGCATGCCTAGGCGCGTTGGAGAATGCGTAGCACATCAGGGTGCAACCACACATTATTAAAGGTCAAAGGTCTTTAAAGCAGTGCAATCATTTTGAAATTTTTATCATTTACTTATTATGCTTCATTAAGTACTTATTCAAAATTTTATTAAAATAAAACCATTTAAACTGGGTGATCGGATTTATATGTCACTTAGTATATTTTACTTCACTATCTATATCAGTTTTATAATACAAAGTTTTACGATGTTATTAAAGTGATGTTAGATATTTGAGATACAAGCAGGTTAACAGACGGTTACATGATCATGAGCATTGTTCGATGATTGTAGTATGTGTCTACCATAATTACATACGTCGAATGGATTCAAGGTGAAAAACAATACGACAAGCCTAAGGTATGTCATGTCCCGTGCGGTATGTCTCGTTCATCGATAGTGATGATGATGGCAGATCATATATCATATTATTGTAGTAATTGTTTGCTTTTGCCATAAAATAACAATAATAGTGATGTCATGGATCATTATACAGGGTGGCCCATAAGTCCTTTGAGCTGGAAAAAAGGAATAAAACCAAACTAGTTACATTATGAAGAATTATTATATTTTGTTATCATCTTTATTGAATGGGAATTATGTTTTAAAATTCACATCGTCTAAATGCAATCCATTACGATCACGGCACTCATATAAACGACGTCTAAAATTGTCGATGACTGCGCGGCAAGTCAACACTGTAATGCTTGCCATTTCTCTTCGGATATTTTCTTTCAGGACATCAACTGATCGCGGACTGGTGTCGTACACTTTACTCTTGAGGTAGCCCCATAAAAAGAAGTCCATTGGGGTCAAATCTGGACGACGTGGTGGTCAGGAAATGTCTCCTCTTCGAGAAATTACTTTGCTGGGAAAAAGTTGACAGACGACGGGCATAGAAGTGTTGGAGGTGTGGGCAGTTGCTCCGTCCTGTTGAAACCAGGTCTGCGTATTATAGCCTGGAAAATTCTGCAACGCTGGTGTCAAAAACTCTTCTATCATTGCTACATACCGCCCCGAAGTAACAGTTAATGCGCGACCTCTGTCGCCCTCAAAAAAATAAGGGCCTACGATGCCATGCGCTGACATAGCAGCCCAAACTGTAACTATAGGGCTGTGTAAGGGCTTCTGATGCTTACGCCTTGGATTTTCGGGGCTCCAATAACGGCAATTTTGTTTATTTACATGCCCGTTTAAATAGAAGTGAGCCTCGTCCGAGAACAACACATTATTGAGCGAAGAAAATCGATTCAACATTTCATTCGCAAAAATTAGTCTCTGAATAGCGTCATTATCTTTTAATTCCTGCACTAACTAAATTTTGTAAGCGTGCAGACGTAAATCTTTCCTTAAAATCCGCTGTAAAGATGTTCTGGGTACGTTTAGTGCACTGGAACGCTTACGAGTAGACTGGGTAGGATTTTGACGAACAGACTGTGCCACAATGTTGATGTTTTCTTCAATACGAGTTGTCCTTGGTCGACCCCACCGCTGTTTATCTAACGTCGAACCAGTCTCTTCGAACTTAGCAACCCAGTTCTTAATCGTTTGATCTGTTGGACACTTTGTAAAATTGTGGTATTCTCGATATTTACGCCGCGCAATGGTTGCCGAATCATTATTTTGATAAAACGCGCGCACACAAAAAGCACAATCCGCTCCAGTGAAACACTCCATGGCGACTGAATTCCCAGACACTGAAGATACTGCCCCCACCTCGCCCGCGCCGCTCACGCTCACCCGTTAAATTTTATTCAAATTTGAAATTTCAAAGGACTTATGGACCACCCTGTATATGGAAAATTTTTAATCAAAAATCGTCTATCGAATCTCTTTACCACTATGACTGATATAACTTTTGATGCTTGTCCTGTACTGCCGTAAATAGGTGAATGACAGTAAAGTGTAAAAATCGAAGTCTGAGAAAATTGAGTTTAAAAATGTATGGACCTTTTCGAACTAAAAAATAGTGTTACAACAGAAGCAATCGATTATTGCAAAGTAGCCAAGCAATCGTTTTTTGAAATTATACAGCGTTTGTATTGATTTGTCTAATGAAATGTTAAGATGTCTTATGCTTTATCACACGGTATATACTTCACACTTTACATTTACACAGTTATACTATGAAGGAACAAGAGTGTATATGGTAGGAAACCCAATAGTTCTCACGGTTATACACTCATTTGTTGTTGTACACTTGGCATATACTCGTAATATGTTTCACAAGCGGCAACAAATCCGGTGTAAGAAGTAATTGGGTCTCACTGTTTGGAGTGGCCCCCACCGCCCAGATTTTAGCCCCATAAGAGCGTAATTTTAAGTGAAAATGCCTTCACCCATATCAATTGTTTGCTCTGTTTTGCGGTTGAAAACGCCCGACGTTGATTGAAAAAAAAATATGCGAGTGCTAACTTATCCGATATAGTGCGGTGAAAGTGTGTCCTGAAGGTATGTGGGAGTTACGTCAGACTGCCATTTTAACATCTATAAGGGTAGACTTTTTATTTTCACACATCATCAAACCTAAGCTCATGTATCTCGATCAGATCAAAGGTTAGAACGCACGACGTATGTCAGTACTTAACACTAGCACCCGCATGGTAGGTAAACAAAAAAATTAATTCAGCAATCACTTCGAAGAAAAACAAAATAGCACACTCGTATATCAGTTTTGAACTTATCGACATATGGTGTCCTCAAAATGCTACCGAGGCTTCGCGAGTGTATGCAGGTCGTTTCTTCAGGGCCGCGTACTCGGTTACCTTGTGCAAAAACGTTTGCCTGAATATCGAGGTGGGCACAGTGGGACACCTAGACAACCCCGAATGGTGCAAACTGAGGAAGGAGTAGGTATTGAATTGTGTAGAAGAAATTCCTTCAACAAGTACTAGGGAGGTGGCTAGACAAGTCAAGTCTGCGGTACTAAAGTTTTGAAGTTGAAGTCCATATTAGTCACGAACAAATAAACTTTCACGCGTAATACTGTGTGGTTATCGGAAAATCCTCACGAGTCCGACAGTTACATTTTCAACGAACATTTTCTTTGAAGGTTTGGGCTGACATGGTAAATGGTCTCATTGTACCTTTTACAGTAGCAAGTCTTTCTACGAAACATTTTACCAACAAGTGACAGGACCGTACTTGAAATTTCTTATAAATTTTTTTTTCTTTTTTTCGCTAGTATTTCGCCACATATTAGCTTTGTTATTTCAAGCGTCGTTGTTTCTGAAAAGCAAATGCCCAACTTTCAGGACTCCCCGTATTAAATAATTATTTGTAGAATTACACATCTGTACTAATTATGTAATAATCATGCATGCCGGTTGTGAAATGTGCCTTGTGTGTTTCACGATTATTTTATTGGCCATTAATTTTTCAATTTGGGAGGAAATGGAATTGTAAATATATGATGGCACAACATTCTGTGTTATATAGTAAAAAGTATTACATTAAATGGAAAGTAAGCTATTTTTAAATCAGTGATGGAATTAAAATACAGATAAAGACAAACATTTTTTCCAAAGCGACCTGCACAAATCGTTCTATGATTTTTTGTGAAAAGATTCCCATGTGTTCTTTTTTTTGTCCCGATTAAGTGTCTTTCTGGGTCCACGAGTCCGTTTCAAGTTTTACGGTATTCGCAAAAATAAGGATGAACAATTCATGCCAGTAGAGTACAATTAAATACCTTATTTAAAAATGTAGTATTTATACCGAATAAATTACTGGAGTTAAAAATATTCTTCAGTAGAGGTCAAAGTACCCCGGTATCTACACGTTACTAATATAGTTTAAGGGGTACAAATGTTTAGATGTTTTGGATGCTCTTCGTACTACATTTAAAAATATTTCGGTACCCTTACTCATTCCGGAAACATAATTTTTTCATTTCAAGATTATAACTTAAATCTACCGCTATAATGGGGCATTGTAGTATGTGCTTGCTATTTCTATAAGCTTCTTATACGTACAATTGATATGCCTATTGCCTGCGCTTCTGGTCATTACAACTCATGGCCGAAATTCAATATCCATTACAAATATTTGAACCTACTATTTTACGTTTGCGATTCAACTCTTTTTATTGATTGATCTTATTTACAACTTTACGTCTTCATACATAGGCTTCGGCAAATTGAAAAGGCAATTACTTTCGAGAGGTATTTGACGCTGGATGCTTTCTAACAGGCCTGAATTTACCTGCGACCTTAGCGGTCAATCAAACAATGTGGGCTGACGAGCTGGTGCAGTTTTGCAACAAGGAGATTCCAAATACGCCGATATTATGAAACGAGGAAAACGCCACTCTTCTAACATACACAAACATCATCAACAGGCATACCTTGGATACAAACAACATTGTATTCAAATTGAGCGGCACCAACACCAGGCTGGTGCTAATTTACCAGGTCAAGTGTTAATCGTGGGCAGACGTTATGGATATGACAGAAGTAAACGACCGCATGCACTCTATATGGACCGAATGTCAAACTGTATGTGCGTGATGTGCATAAACAACTGCATTTATGGGACGAAATGAAAATTATCGTATGGTTAATTACCGTATTAGTTAATTATCAACGGTGTGACCTTTGTTCTAATTAAACTATTTTTAAAATTAAGAAACGTGAACAAGCTAGATGATAGGAACACTAAATATCTAGTTCATGAATGCTAAAAAACGCGGTTACGTTCATACATGGTGAGTCAAAGAAACAGCTTAAAGAATGCGCCCAAAAGTAGCACGATTAGCTTTTATAAACATGGGCTGAAAATGTCTTCTTACACAGGTACTGGATATAAAAAAATGTATGTTAACTCAACCCCTCCCTACGCAACTCTGTCATCAGTTCATAAAGGATCATATACAACACAAGTTAATAATAGAAAAAAATGTCAGTCAAACAGGCTCATGCATTTAGTCCATAGTTATCGATCTAGCCTGCCGCCCCACCAACAGTTCCGACTACCCAGCAACGTGACAATGCAACACGGCACGCATCACCGCTCAGTGGATCCAGTGTTGTCAGGTCTATCGATTTCTCGGTAGATTCACCGATTTTAGTCCTATCCTACGGAACTACCGATTTTAATACGAAATTTACCAAAAAATTTCTCAAATTCTTAAATAGTTTATTACTGATATAGTTCAACAAAACACGAGGATAGAGCACATTGCCACGTACTCTACTACACACCCTCCCCAATTTTCGATTTAGTGAAACCATGTGTTCTTCAAATTTTTAAATATCTGGTGACTGGAACCTTTGACCACGCAGTCTGTTTTTAATTTTCTGGAAAGTAAAGAAATCGTTAGGACTTAGATCGGGACTATATGGAGGATGGTCCAATAATTCCACGTTTTCTTCCGTTAAATACTGCCTTGTTTTTTGGGCTGTCTGCGAGCTAGCATTGTCTTGGTGGAGGATGATTCTTCTTTCGGGGTTGATTTTTCGAAGCTCGGTGATGACCTTTGGCAAACAAATGGTGGTATACCAATCCGCAGTAACAGTTCTTTGCTCATTAAGAGGAATTGTTGCAATATGAGCCGCTTTTGACACAAATCTCGCAACCATCTTTTTCGAAACACTTCGAGAACGGATGGCTTGTGTTGGCTTTTCTTCACCTTGGAACACCCAAACAGCCGACTGTCGTTTATTTTCTGGTTCATAACAGTAAATCCACGATTCATCACCACTAGCAATGCTGTACACATTTTTTCTTCTTCAACAGGTGGGGTGAAACTAATTTTCTTACTCCCAATTCTTCATGTAAAATTTTTTGAATTGAGGTCTTTGATATCTTCAAGGACGGATTTTTTTATATGTCACATGTATATCTTGATGATGAGTTTGCGCACGGCATCGACGTTTTCCTGGGTGACTGCCGTTTTTGGCGCGCCCACCCTGGAATCGTCGCTAAGACTCACCCGTCCATGTTTGAATTCTCCATACCAACGGGAAATTGTCGACTGATGTAGTGCTTCGTTGCCGAAAACGGACAGTAACTCGGCAAGGCATTCTTGTTGCGATAATTTTCTCTGAAAGTTGTAATAAATTATGGTGCGAAAATGTTCTCGGTTGAGTTCCATTTTTCTAATGACTTGGTGACACTTAAAAATTCACTGTAGTGAGAACACTGCACGTATTGTTGTGAAACTTTGAATTTAAGTTTACTAAAGGGTGAGGTTAAGATTCAGTACTGACGTTCGATCCGCGCGGCCTACTATGTTTCTGTATGCAAAACTTAAAAGACATCCCTCGTACGTCAATAAGAAAACTACATTCTTGGAACGACGCTCGACATGTCATTACAGTAGCTTCGTTTCGATTCATCCGATTAGCGATTTATCTAAAATAAAATCCGGCTTCACGTGACCCGATTAACTCTAGGCATGATAACGCAATGAAACAAATGGAACCAACACAGGAATATAACTGAATATTAAGTAAACATATTCATATTATTCGGATCCTGACATGACAAAAAAAGCCTTTACAAAAAAGTGCGGCTTGGAATGCCTTCAACATTTTATTGGCGTATACTTCCCTGATAGCAAATATATTTCCAAGTTTTTATCAAAATTCAATAAATGACTCTGGGTGTTGCACTTTATATGTCTCTATTTCACCAAGGTTGTCAAATTAACAGTCCGTTATTCTCCACCTATACGGTAACAGTCCGTCAAATACAGCGAATGAGCTTCAAGTTCAAATCAACAAATTTTAGCAACCAATACCTATAAAATGTTGAAAAAAAAAATACTGTCAAAGTATGAGATGACAGCTTGTCATTGAAACATCACCAGCTTATTGAATATTAAGAAATTACATATATGATGTTTTAATTATTATTGTTGATATGTTATTCATGTTTATATTATTTTCTTCATTTACTTGCCGTTCATCAGTACCATTATAGCACCGTCGATTGATATTCCCACAAAATCATTCAGGATTTTTGATAGCCATACATCCATAAAGTCAAATATTTTCTGGCTGTTTAGGAACTGAACAAACATCCACACTATATTTACAGCGATCAAGAAATACTCAAGTATATGTCGTAAAGCTACCGGCAAACTTAAAACCTGCAAAAAAATAGAATTTGCAATAACTTTATTGCTTCACTGAGTACATATTCTAGCTTATATGTAAATTAGACATTTTTTGAATAGCAGCTGATTATTACATTTTTCAAAACTCCCCAACGAGTGACACATGTGTGGGATCCGTAACCCTTGGTGTCAGTGGAGTAAGCTCCGACAACTGTTGAAATGCTTTATAAGACTATACGTAGAATTTTTCCTAAAATCGTTGCACAACACTGCAACAAAAATGCAAATGAAAATCGTCGGTACCTCGGGTTGTACATCTTGACAGTAGGGATGTTCGATACGATCCTATATTTAGACGTATCGTTACTTTTGCTTCCCATACTCGATATTTTGAATCGATATTTTTATATACGACACTTGAGTGTACCGATACATTTCACGAGTATCGTCATTTTTCGGTCCTGACTGTGTCAGAAAGAGTGACTAACTTCAGATTACGTTTCTTCTTTGATTCGCTGGGTATCGATAATTTTATTCCAATATTTTAGAGTATCGATACTTCCTGAAACGATAAGAATCGATACATATCGATACTTTTTGTGGAACTACACATCGCTAATCTTGACAGCTTGTCGTTCTTGTCAACTGGGCTGCAGGGTGCGGTGTTGCCTTTACTATGTTACCAAAATCTTATGACAAATAAAAGCTTCAAATGAAATATGGTCGAATATGAACGGATGTGCATAGCATTCAGAATATAAATTCATATGGCAAATTTCAGATTGTCTATGCATGGACTTGAACCGGATTGAGTATTTACCGATAACATCATTCTCCGCGATTTTTCAAAATAATTTAAATATTTCTTGCCGAAAGAGAGTTGAAACAAAAAAAAGCTAAAGGTTAATTTTATGTAGTCTCAATAGTTTTATGCCTCATAGTAATCATACATATGCATACACACTAAGGCAGTCGGGCACATGAGAAGCGTAGATTTGGGTTGCCTATGATTACGAACGTACATCCTGATCCCTTACTACGCTTGCCCTGAATTGATGTTTGTGCATACAAAATGTACAGACTGGTAGATTACCGTCATTACCTCGTCACCGGACAAGCAATAAAGAAACCGAAGCCTGTATGTTATCAAAATAAATCTTTAATTAAAATGAGAGGTGAGTTCAGGGGTAAAGAAAAATATTCACAATCTCATAAGCAAGAATCGAGAGCGGCCAGTATGCACATTGTAGAAGTTGTAATATAGAACTATTCCCTCAAAAAACATGTTGTGTGCGCGCCCAATACAATAACAGACGTTTTTCATGACTCAAAGGTCCTTGATCTACCACTGATCTTGGAACGGCATTTACCTTATACCGAATTCAACGACATTATTTACCGATTCCGTTTTTTGCCGCTTTGGCAACACTGGAGATGTGCAGATCACTTTAAGGCCCGTATCGTTAGTCGTCCCTACAATTGTAGGGCGCCTTTATGGCCTCCTTGATTGTCATAGTTGTCTACTTCTCCGTGTCAGCGCTCTATTTTGAGGTTATGTCACAAACATCTATTTGCATCAAATTGTGCTTGCTTTTGAGTTATATCATGTTTTATCAGCCTGAAATTTCCTACAATTTAAAAGGAAAACATATCTTAACAATAGGAGAGCGCTGACGATGACACGGGACGAGTTTAGGCTAGAAATTTTTGAAGGAGAGAAAAGAGTATGACAATCAAGGAGGCCATAAACGCACCCTACAATTGTAGGGACGACTGACGATACGGGCCTAAAAGCAACTGATATCCCAGACGTGTTATAATAATAGAAATAATAAGAAAATATAACAATGTTTGGAGATATATTTTCATAAATAATTATTTTTGATTCTGACTTAAAATATCTAGACGATGAATAATAGGTAGATGCGATACTTTTACAAATATCGATGTTTTAGCACCCATAAATGCAGAGTGTGCTGTTTGTTTACATTTGGTGTGGCTTTCTAGATCATAAATTGGCAAACATTTTGTACAACACCCTGTTCGTGATATACAGACAAAACTAGATTGCCATGCATGAACAGTCGTCAAAAACAGTGAAAACATCCAACTAAATATAATATATATATAATATAAATCGACCTATTATTTCTCTCATTTTCATTGGTCACTTTAAATAACTGACCGTCTTTTCTGAAATGATAAAAATTTGAAATTCTATGAAAATTATCCTAATTCTAAAGCACAAAGACATTACATCTATAATGTGGCCTTAATAAGACAACCGTTTTTTCACGACTTTATGCAACATTTCAATAGAAATCACTGATATTCAGAGAGCTTTGACAGCTTCCGTCAAATTGCATTTCGATAAGGTCTTTTCCTATTGGTCCAACTGTTAATGTTGGTGAATTTGGCCCTTAGTATACCTCCCAATTTTTTTTTAAA